GTCAGCTCGAAGAAAATCACAGTGATCAAAGCCCAGATACAGAATAATGGTAGAAATAACTGAGTAAAAGGCACGCATGGATTAATCATCGGGAACATCTGTTCTGTGTTTTGGAATCACTCACTTCAACCTTGTGGCTAATCAGCTTTGCTCAGACTCTCAGAATGCATCACTGCACAGTGTATGACATCAGGTTAGATGTTTAATTACTTCCTGCTTAAAGAGCATAGGATATACACAGCTGTCTTCAGGAAGAGCTTCAGAAATGAGAACTATGACATTTCCCAGGTCCACTTTCAAGAGAACGTATTTTTTTAAGGAGACGATCAAAATGAAGCAGTCACAGGTTACTCCTATCTAAGGAATTTCAGGGAGAGGGAGAGAAGTAAAAGCCCAGGTTGGAAGCTGCGTGTGCACAGGTGAAGGGAAAGTGAACTGAAACAAACACTTCCATGATTTGCCTTCCTCAGGTCATTCAAAGTAGTTTTAAATCCGCTTTAACTGGTCAGTGCATCCTCTAGAGCACTGCCCAAGTTTCCTCTGCCCACAGGCCACCTGCCTTCACCAGATCCTCCAGATCCAGCCTCTGTATGGCTTTACATTTTCTGCACACTCACGCCTCTTCTCCAAGAGCCCCCTGCTTGACAAGAGCCCAGAAATGCTGGCCCGAGAGCAGAACTATGATTCTCCAAGCTCCTCCCCAACCACTTCACCAAACAGATGCCCATAGCCAAGTTGGCTCCAGCAGACACAGTGTCTGGGAGCAGGCAACAGAGTGGTCCATAGCCACAGGTTGGCTACCTCTGTTCTGGAGCAGGCAACGTGCCCCTAAAGCTGTCCTTTAGCAGCAGATAGTTAATAGGAAAGAAAGGACTGAGACTGGCCTCATCATCTTTACATAAGAAACATCCCCTGTAATGTTTTCTTTGGGTTTCTTACCCATTATTATGTTTAATATGAAAGAAACAAGGAAATTCAAATGCACACACAAATACAGTAAGAGTTGAACAAGCCTCTGTAAATAAGGTGGTGAATGGGGAAAGAAGGAACATCAGACCTATTTTCCCTGGCCTGAGAACAGCTCAAAAAAGTCAGAATGAGGAAAGCCAAAATCTGAATGTGTATTCATGTGCTCAGTGAACCTGAACACTGATTTGTATCGGCAGCCTTGCAGAAATGCCCCATGTGCACTCAAGCACCATGTATGAAGCAGCACCACAAACAACAACATCTCTAAATCGGCGTTTAAAACATCACCACACTGAAAACCCAAGGTCACGCTGGTGATTGGATTATGCATTTCTACTCCTTGCATCTTTATGTTCCTTTAACTCTTTGGTCAAGCATCCTTTTTACTGAATTATCAAATTACTTCTGTATTTATTGCTGATAAACCCTTTGTATTCTGCGTCTACAGAGCTTCTTCTCTGGGTACATAACTTACTTTATGATGAATTTTAACAACTAAATTTTAATAGGTAATCCACATTATCTTAGTTGAAAGAGCAGACACTAACTGAATTTAACACAGAGAATCAACCTGCATTGTTTGTAGAAATGAAGGGATGAAGCATTAGTGGGAAAAGGAACCTCTGCTTTTGAAATCCAGGCAACCTGGATGGACAACAAGCAAAAACTACAGTAAAAATTAAATACTCCCCATCCCACTGAAAGCTCAGCCCAAGATTCTTGTTTAAGAACCAAACTGGTGAAGCGGAGGAAAATGCTGCTCGTCACGACACAGAGAGGTTGGGGTGGGAGGTCCCAGGCCCAGGAATATTCCTGGTTGTCAGAGGCTAAAAAGATTATTTATTGTTTCCTTCCTAAACCCAGCTCCGCTGCCACCTGTTCTGAACTTACTATAAAGCTGTTAAACAAGATGAGAACTTTGATGCTGACTGTGAAACAAGCCTCGCTGTCTCTGACCCGAGCGGCGCTCGCTCCTGCTCCAGCAGCACAGGAATTTGATGTTGCTCTTTAAGCACAGCTATCTTTTTACCTTTATAAGCTGTTTAAAAAAATGTAAATAAAATAACTCCATGGACAATAGAGGGCATTCATCCCACAGAAAGACAGCCGCCACCCTTAGACATGAAATATCGCAGCACATTAAGTCATGAGACCCCGCTAATCAAAGCTGACAGGGCCCTGAATGTGATTTCTGCTGAGACGCAGCGATATCATGGGGCACTGAAGCATGCACAGCCTGCCAGACTGCCCCTGTTCATGTGACAATGGCTTTTATTCCCGAAAGGGGCCTGCCAGTGACAAGAGTTCCCTTTGTCTTTAGGCTCCCGCATTCGCAGCGCAAGAGAGGTTCATTCAACCAGCCCCAGACACTCTTTGAAAGGCTGAAGTGTAACATAAGATGACCATGAAACACTAGCTTGCCTTCTGCCTACCCCTCATTCTTCTCAAGCACAGCCTGGCCTATTCAGGGCCTCTCTCAGACTCGCTCGCGCTGCATTACCCCCGGTCTGCTGAATCCCCGCATTGTCCCGGCCCCACCAGCAGCCATCGCCTGCCCCACAGAGCGGGCTGGCCGGGACAGCCGGGGTGGAGGGCAGGGTGCACCCACGGCCTGGCCTAGGGGCTGCAGGGCAGGGGGCAAAGTGCCACAGTTCACCTGGAACCACCCGAGCGGGAACGGAAAACCCTTTGGTGTCTTCATGCCACGTGGGCCATTAAGAGCAGAGCCGGGAGCCCCTCAAGGCCAGGAGCTGCCATGATGCTCCTACAGCTGCAAACAGCATTCACAAAGAAATGGATAAAACCCCCAAACGCCTTCATGGGCCAGACACCTCAAAATCCCACTTACACATCCCTGCTTTTTTCTTTAACTGTTACTGCACCAACTTGGTTTCCCGCAGCATGGGAGCACCAGTGCCATCCGCTGGCCAGTGCTCCCATCAGGTGCCTCCTCACCACAGCTACTGTTTTAGTTACACTGCGAAGTCAGAAAGAAGCTACCTCCACCTGCACCATCTTCCACCAAAGAGCAGTGCCCTGCCCCGTCCTGTGGCACTCCAGCAGCTCACAGCAAACCCCCGGCCACTGCGAGCAGAATCCCAGAATTCCAGACTGGTTTGTGTTAGAAGAGACCTTAAAGCTCCTCCAGCTCCAACCCCTGCCCCGGGCAGGGACACCTTCCACTAGAGCAGCTTGCTCCAAGCCCCTGTGTCCAACCTGACCTTGAACCCTGCTAGGGATGGGGCAGCCCTGACTCATAAACCAGCTCAGCCTTTGACCAGCTCTACCAGAACAGGGCACAGATGTGCTTCAGGAACAACTGACCACCATGAACACTCCCAGGGATCTCTGAGATCTCATTTTCTGAAGAGCTCTTCCTGAAAAACCTCCGTGAGGGAAAGGAGCCTTAACCTACGGGGCAGAGCTGGGAACTCTGTGGTTTGCACACCACAGTAGGAAATACATCAAAGCAGTGAAGGGAATAACGTGCTCTGGCATAGATGACTAGTGTCTTATTGTAATTAGAGCAAGGAATTAAATACTGACAGCAAGGACTTATAAGGATTTCTGTCCTTTCAGGTGAGAGACAGAAGAGCCAAAATTCCTACATGTGAATCTGCCTTACTGCCCCATCTAAAAGATGGGAAACAGCGGCCCGAACAGACACGCCACAGCCCACTGCAAGTGCTCCAAGCCTTACTTCCAGGGTTTTTGGGGTAGTTGCTGTGAAATTAGGTAAGATCAGTCCCCAAGCGCAGTAAAAGATTTCCTGTTATTCTTGAAGATAATTCTATTCATCCTTCTGGCAACAAAACAAAAGCAGAAGAAAGTTATGGCTGAGGGTAGGCAACAGTTGAGGTTTCCTGTTCTTCACACTGGGAATGAGCAGTAAATGAGCTTTTCTGTGGAAGAAAGAAGAGAAAAACAATTCTACACATACAAATAATTCAGAGCTGCCCAAAACCAGATCTAGAAAGAACTGCATTTCTAATGAAAACAACACGTATCTTTGAGCCATGAACTTAAAGATCACACAAGTACAGTCAATGTGTTTCTGTCAGGATTTTCAAGCACATTCAAAACCTCATTGAGTAAAAGATTAAGTTTCAAGCAGCTACCTGTAAACTTCTAATCACATACGAGACATCCTTGTTTCATTATTCAAAGAAATTAACAAGAAAGAAATTCCACAGCTTCCCTTAGGAATTCAGCTTCACTGAGGGACATTTTGAAATGCTATTGAATTGCTTCTTTTGCTAAGCAAGATCAAGCTGCTCTGCACCACAACAATGAACCATCTTCCTCTGAGAAGAACAAACATATGCCTTTTGCCTTAAGAAAAACCCAGGCATTAACAGCATTGTAGCTTACTCATGGAAACACCTGCAAGGCTTCCAAGATATCCCAGTGATGCCAGAGGTGATGCAAGTACTCTACAAGTACTCTAAACCACAGGGTAAAACATATCAAATTCATGGTTGGGTGAACTCCTGCTAGTGTCAGCCACCCAAATTCAAATCCATGAGTACTAACATGTTGTGAATATAAGCGTCAATGGTAGAGAGGCTTCAAAACTCCTCAAACTGGGACCACTCTGGTTAGGGTAATCCTGTGGGAACAGAGATTTCCCAACCCCTCCTTGCTGCAGGCAGGCTGCAGGTAGCACAGCAGGTCTGCCACCAACTACTAAATTCCCTTTTTTCTTCATGCCAAGGAAAAGGAAAACAAGAGAACACTACCATCCCCTTGAATTCTCCAAATGAAACCCTATTCACCTATTACTTTCAAAGGTCAAAAACGGGCTGGGGGAAGGATTCACTGGTATTCTGTACTCAGCCGTTAGTAAAACTGAGGTTGAACACAGCCTGCTCCTGTCCATGGAAGACCAGGCTGAGCTGCACCATTCACAGCGTGCAGCTGCTGCCATGGAACGGAATTCACATTGAAATGCATCCAAAAAAGAAGGACACAGACATTAACAGAGAACTGGGGAGCTGGGAAGGTAAATGTGTTTGAAAGACATGACCCACCTCTTTGTAATCGCCCTTGTGATAAAGATGACTGACATGTCCAAGCAAACAGTTCCGGTCTGCTGTATGGAGCTGGTAAATGCTAATCAAAGGGTCAAGAAGATTAGCTGGGCACTGGGCTAGTATTCCCAGCACACGGGCCTGCAGCTTCTTCAGCTCGATGCCAGACTGAAAAAGATGATAATAATAAAAGCAAATCAAAGACAGGTTTAGTAGAGATGGCTACAATTCAACGGCAGTTGAAAATGCAGATTGTTTAAACAGGGGAATAAGCCAATTCCTTGGGAAGGGATTCTCCAATTTCCCCATGGAGTCTGCAAGCAGAAATCAGAACAATATGATCCACATTTTTTTCACAGCATCCAATTTAAAAACATGAAATGTGTGCAGGATAATTCTGGACAAGGCACATGGCCTTGTGCAAAAGTAAAATATGAACCTGGAAAAATGCCTCCTTTACTAACACGGCTCTGCAGAAACCCTCCCCTCTTGTTCCCAGCAGAAAATGTTTGAATCCAACACCTCCCCTCAAGGGAGATCTCACCTATCAGGCACAGGAATTCAATTTTCATTGCCAGGCTTGCTCCTGGGAGCAAGAAGGGCAGGAAAAGCAAAGCATCATCAAAAGATGCACGGATACAAGTATTAATCCTTGTGTGCCCACATGACCATTCTCTTAGGACACAGGAATCGCAGTGCCAGCGGCACTTCACTCGGCAGATACTTTCAAGGGCAGAGTCAGCATCTAAAAGGAGCCATTTGGAAAAATGGGAACTGAAACAACACAAATATAGAAGTATCTTTGCAGTTCAGAGCCAGAAGCACGCAAAAAAGGGAAAATCTCAGTAGGACACAATACATGAAGGCATAAGCAATCGTAAACATTGGGAGGTACAATCTGATGACACAATGTTACAAAGCTAATCATTCAGCTGCTGAAAAGCCATTACTGCTCCATTTTCTGCATTCCACATGATAAAAGATCCCCAGCATATGGCAGGAGTTAAGCAATCCGACAGTAACTGGCTTCTATTTGCAGAACTGGAAGAACATACAGAGTGGGTTACTGCAGTTGGTTTTATCCTGACAGCAGGGATGAGTTCCAGTGGGAAAGCCTCCAGCCCTGCAAAGGCTGAGAGACCAAGGCTTGATCAAAGTGGTTTGATCTGAAAAGATGGAAATCCCAGCTTGGAAGGGGAAACAGCTTCTAATACTATTTTGTTTTCAGGCCAGCATACAACAGATAACATCTCAGTATGAATTTCACACCTCCTCACACCGTGGCTGTATGAGACACCAGGATGTACGAGATGGATGTATGGACACGTGGATGTATGGACTGTAGACATCAGACTATGGAATAAAGTGAAACAGGGGACACTTGAGGGATACGAAAATCAATTGTCCTCCCCTTTCTCCTGGCTCTCTTGCTCTCTCTTTTTCTAACCTGTTGAGCAGCAGGATGCTCTTTTATCCAAAGTTGCAGCTCCGTGGTGATGCAATACCCGAGGGAATGCCCCTTCCCCTTCCAATCACGGCTGCCCTCCAGCATGTCCAGGAGTCCTGCCAATGGGTCCTGCAGTCCTGCGAAGCCCCGCCTGGCTTCTTCCTTGAGCTGCTGAGATACAAACCCGCATTGTCATGTACAAAGAGATTAGTGAATCCTCCCTTCCCCCAGCCCAACACAAAGCTTTATTTTTTTTAATTTAATCTATTCAGAGAGGTAACTGTTGCTATTCAGCCACCATCCGCGCCTCCAGTGACTTTTCATGTCATTACAGATTCCTTCATGGCTCACTGCACCTCAAACCCAATGGGAAAAGCAGCAATTGTCCACACTAATTATCCCATAAAGACAGAGAAGTTGTTCCATGGGGCAGACAAAGGGGCTTGGAATTTGGGGGAGGGGGAGAAAAGAAGGGAGCTGGAGAAAGGGGTGTTACTGGGAAAATGGCAGTACTGAAGGTAGATAACCCAGCTCAAAACCTGCTCATCTTCTAACAGACCTACAAGTAATAAAGCACACAAACCCCTCCGTCTCACTTTTGTACCACAAACTTTCATATTTGACCTTACACCCACTTCAGCCACGATGCAGTAACACTCCTCACCAGAACAGGAATACTGGTGAGTATTGAAATAGTTGGATTTTACACACAAGACTAAAAAGAAAGAAATGATTCTCTGAAACAGCAGAGTTTGAACTCTGCCATCCTGCAAATCCTGCTCTTGCCCTCCAAACCTACCTGAGCAGGGTACTTTCTGCTGCCTGCCCCATGCCCCTGCATGCCAGGCACTGTCCTCCTCCAGGAGTCTAAAGGCCGTACACAGCGGCTCGGAACATGGGAAAACTCCAGGCCATAAATCTTAGGAATCCCGGGGTGATGTGTTTAGAAATGTGAAGGAATTGGCCACTCGCTTTGTGAATGTTAATAGGCTACTTACTACCCATCTGGTAGAAGTGATAAATTAGCAGTACTGAGCAATATCTTGATAATGTTTACATTAGAAGTAGTTTCCAGGGAGCTCGGGGGGTTGGCAGGGTGAAGAAGTGGCATCCTCCAGTCCCCACACAGCACCTTTCACTGCATGGTACATGTACTGGCGTGGAGCGAGGCAAAAGCAGAGACAGAAAACAAGAAATCACTACGAGCAGCTGCTCTCTTTCTTTTCTGGCTAAAAAGCGAAATCCCAAAGATGCTCGTTCCCGCCAGCACTTGTAATTTACTGTGCACGGCCCCAGTCGCAGCTTCCAATGGAAACAACTTTTAGAGAACATGGAAAACAAAAGAAAACCTACAGAAAATTTGCCAATGAATTTGTTCTATTTTATTCATGGACATTATTTACTGGAAGGCAGCTCTTTTCCATAGTGTCCTTCATGTCTGGAAAAACCACAAACCCCATCATTTACAACAGACACTGTTTCTTTCTCACTAGATTATCAAAAGCAGTATGAAAAAGCTGATGACTAACAGAGATGGGACTTCAGATAACACATTTCTCCCTGTAAGTATTTTTCCCTGTGGCAAGAATTTGTGATGTTAAACACAGGGCTCCAACTTCACTGCAAGATTCAGCAGAAGGGAAAGGCAAGCTCTTATTCAACCACAAATATCCAACACAACAGCCAAGGGAAAACAGAGCAACTCACCAACTAAATAGCACTGTTTCTAAATAGCTTCCCTTCTCTCCCCCCTCACCTCAAGCCCCACTTCAGCACATTTAGACTGAACAAGAGCTTTCACCACACTGCTCAGCTCCTCCTTGGGCTCGAGTCCAGGCTTTGGCAGGATGGGCTCTAGCAGACACCAGCTCCTGCGAGAGCACGAGCGAGCCAGCACTTACACAACTGCCAGGAGCACTGACTGCTGTTATCTACACCGAGCCTTGACTTCATACCAGCTAGACTTTGTCAAGCAGGGAAAAGCCTTCTTCAACACTTCCAAGCAATCTGAAGGCTTCAGCTATGGTCTGGACAGTTTGGGGCGGGGGGTGGGGGGATGGAAGCAAAGTAAAAGAGGAATGAGACACTTAAATGAGTGAGGAAAGAGTGCTGTGCTGCCTGCCTGCGTCTGCCAGAGAAGGATTCCTCTCAAACATGTAATTGCCATTTCCATTTCAATTGATTCCCATGGCAGGGAACGCTCCTTGGGGGATTTTTACAGCCTGACAGATCATGGGAATAGGAAAATTTGCTGATGCCCAAACTACATAGTTCTTCATTCAGTTCTGGTCCCTTATTTCTAGGGACACAGAACAGGGCAGTCTGTTGATGCTTCTTGGTTATTCCAAACCTGTCCTTCCTATGGAAGAAATGACCACTTCTCATAGCCATGTTCCAGAACTGAGGTCAGATGTGCTCCTTCTGCTCGTGGTCACCGATCTGAGGCCAGTGGGCTGGCTGACTGACACTAGTGGATAGACAGCACTGACTTCCATTCGCATCCAGCCAAGGCAGAGAAGCTCCCTGCCCTTTCAGTGGCAGTGCAGCAGACTGAGGTGTGCTTAAGGCAACTTCCCTCTATTTGAACCAGACAGTTGGAAGTGTTCAAGGCCAGGCTGGATGGGCTTGGAGCAAGCTGCTCTAGTGGAAGGTGTCCCTGCCTGTGGCAGAGGGTTGGCACTGGATGAGCGTTAAGGTCCCTTCCAACCCAAACCATTCCATGATTCCATGAGGTAAGCAGCAGCTCAAAGGGCAGGGCACCAGCTGCCTCTCAACAAGGTTTATGCTTGCTGCAGGTGTAGGGCTTGTCTGAAGGGCGGTGATGACCTGAGCATGGACGAGCCCATCTCAGTGTCAGTAACAGTGGGGACGTTCGTGCTGTGGTCCCCACGCTGTGGGCAGCTGTTGCTGTGCCACCGCCTGGCTCCACCACAGCCCCCCTCTTGTATAAAAAGACTTTGCCTGTGGCTCAGAAACACATCCTCCAGGCTCAGATACACGCTCCTGGCCGTGCCCTAAAGGGAAGGCCGAGGGGGCCAGACACTGGGGAGCTGCAGCCCCTGTGCTCTGCAAACCCACATGTCCCACTGTCGCTGACATGGACAGTGGGATTGAGCGCGCCCTCAGCAAGTTTGCCGATGACACCGAGCTGTGTGGTTCGGTTGATACCCTGGAGGGAAGGAATGCCATCCAGAGGGACCTCGACACGCTTGTGAGGTGGGCTGATGCCAACCTCATGGAGTTTGACCATGCCAAGTGCAAGGTCCTACACCTGGGTGGGAGCAATCCCAGGCACAGCTACAGGTTGGGCAGAGAAGAGATTCAGAGCAGCCCTGCGGGGAAGGACTTGGGGGTGTTGGTCGATGAGAAAATGAACATGAGCTGGCTTCAGTGTGCGCTCACAGCCCAGAAAGCAACCATATCCTGGGCTGCATCAAAAGGAGCGTGACCAGCAGGGCGAAGGAGGTGATCCTGCCCCTCTGCTCTGCTCTTGTGAGACCTCACCTGGAGCATTGTGTGCAGCTCTGGCGTCCTCAACACAAAAAGGACATGGAACTGTTGGAACAAGGCCAGAGGAGGCCACGAGGATGATCAGGGGACTGGAGCACCTCCTGTATGAAGACAGGCTGAGAAAGTTGGGGCTGTTCAGCCTGGAGAAGAGAAGGCTGCATGGAGACCTCACAGCGACTTTCCAGTATCTGAAGGGGCCTATAGGGATGCTGGGGAGGGACTCTTCATTAGGGACTGTAGTGACAGGACAAGGGGTAACGGGTTAAAACTTAAACAGGGGAAGTTTAGATTGGATATAAGGAGGAAATTCTTTCCTGTTAGGGTGGTGAGGCACTGGAATGGGTTGCCCAGGGAGGTTGTGAATGCTCCACCCCTGGCAGTGCTCAAGACCAGGTTGGACGAAGCCTTGGGTGCCATGGTTTAGTGTGAGGTGTCCCTGCCCATGGCAGGGGGGTTGGAACTGGATGATCATAAGGTCCTTTCCAACCCTAACTATTCTATGATTCTATGATAACCATTCCCAAAACAAACCAAACATGTGAGTGTTACTCATGGGGTTCCTCAAGCTTTTCCACAGGGAAGCTGTGGTGCTCCTGCCCAAGGACACCTCAGTGGGAGGCTCTGTCTTTTTCAGAGTATTTTCCTTCACAATCCACACACATCCTGGGGATTGCAGTGCAGAGATTGTGATGATTCCTCTTTCCCACTGCTGTTCTGTGGCATAAACTGCCCCCAAGGCCTAACAATATTTTTTTCCTCCAACTCTAATATAACTTGACAGAAAGCTCAAGGCTTCAGAGTTGCTGAGCTCAAGCCTATGTCTGTGATGGACCATTCAGAAAGGCACCTCTCGCACTGTGTTTCCAGTTGTTCAATCATTCCAGCTGGGAGCCAGGCTATCAGTAATGTAAAGTCTAAGTGTGGCAGACAAGGAGAATGACTAAACGCTCCAGACACCTAGGATGGAGCACATACTCTGAGGTACTCAGCCACACAAGACACATTTCACACAGCTCTGTGGTGAGCTGCAGGTCTGCGGTCTTCTAGGAAACCATCTCTGCTCAGAACCTGCCTGAACAATGCAGGATTAAACATGGGAAACTCACCACTGAGCTGACAGATCCACTGCTTTTGTTAGTTTTCAAGCTCCCAATTCAGATTAAGTAAATTTTACTCCCTATGAGAAATTGCCAGTAGAGCTCACAGGGTGCTCTATCAAAAGACAGCACTGATTTTAGGGAGTGCAAATTGCATTCACCACTGTAAATGGCAAACCCAAACCGAATCAGAGAAAACAATAAAAATACTTTGACTGAAGGCTTTGATTTCATTCTACTTGGCAAAGAGCACTTTTCTATGGACTTCAACCCTAATTTTTTCAGCAACTAGAAATATTCCTCCCCTCCCCCAAAGATCCTCCATTTAATGGTCAAAAAAAGTGTTTAAAAGAAAACAAAAGCAACTTTGATTTTTTTTCTCCCCTGCTCTGTAAGGCAGCTCCGTAAACTTCAGCTCTTTTCTATGAGCCCCTGAGCTGCTTCACATCACACAGAGCTACCTTTTCTTTTCACTTGTTGCTGCAAATGCAAAGGCTCTTCCCCTGTGTGCTGGAACTGAAAGCGATCATGAAGAATTGCAGGTCTGACCTAAGCGTTCTGCGTCTGGACATGCTCTGCATGCAGTTATTAACTGCAGCGTGAAGGGCCAGCTCAGCCTTACCTTCTCCATCTCTTTCTTTGTCCAGAGGAGTTGAAGGGCTTTCAGCAATAGCAGTGGGTCCCGGCCTGGAGGAGGGAGGGAGGGAGGGAGGGAGGGAGGGAGGGAGGGAGGGAGAAAGGGGGGAGAAAAACAAAACAAAACAGATTTATTGGCTCTGTACAGGCAGCCCAGACACACTGGGGCATTGTTTCACCCAGGAGAAATCAGCTACTCCATGCCACTGTGTTTGAAACCACCACCCTTCCAACTGTCACTCAGGATTAAAGTGCTAAAATCCTCGCTCTGAAACCCTCACAAAATAACAGACATCAACTTTAACTAAACACCCGCATGGGCTCCAATACTGAAAAGCTGTACTGGTGCATGTACAACAACTGTGCTGCATCCAACACATTCCTTCCTCTGTTAATATCAAACCAAAACGGTCCTTGAAGAGGAAGCACCTTGCACAGGTTGGAAAGGATTATCAACACACTAATTTGTAATGAAATGGCTCTGAAGTGTTTAACCTCATCACAAGCTGTGGATGGAAGATGCAAGTGGGTGAATTTGGGAAGCTCGGGCTCTAGGTGCTTGGCAGCGTGTGTGTGAGCGCAGCCGGGCCAGCCAGGGGGCTGGGAGCAGCCTGGGTCAGATGCGGTCTGAGGAAGGGGAAACATGAAATGCTGCTGGGATTAGTGGCAAGGCTGAAAAACAGCGATCAATTATTTCAAAAGGATGTGATTTGGAAGTTTTCTCTTGCCTGTAGGGACAGGCCAAGGGGAATGGCTTTAACCTGCCCGAGGGGAGACTGAGATGAGCTCTTAGGCAGAAGCTCTTCCCTGTGAGGGTGCTGAGGCGCTGGCACAGGGTGCCCAGAGAAGCTGTGGCTGCCCCATCCCTGGCAGTGTTCAAGGCCAGGTTGGACACAGGGGCTTGGAGGAAGCTGCTCTAGTGGAAGGTGTCCCTGCCCGTGGCAGGGGGCTGGAAGTGGATAAGCCTTAAGGTCCCTTCAACCCACCAGTCTTGGATTCAATGATTCTATGATCTAGTTCTAATTCATACCAGTATTATTCGTCATACCACTATTTCTGAACCAAATATTTTGGGATATTTCATTTTAAAAGCAGTAAGACTTTTGATATCTGTTTCTATTTATTTCCCAATCATTTACTTACGAAACCATGACTCAGAGTGTTCTGAATGAAAAATCTTCTACTGCATCAACAGTTTAAATGTGAAGAATGAATTCAGAAGTATGAATGAGTTCTCCAGAAACACCCCCCGTGCATTCAGTGAGCACCTCCTCTTATATTTTTATAAAGCCAAAGAAAAACATTCAACTGAAATGGAAACACCCTTTCAATCACCTTCTGCATTCTATGGTTCCTAAATAGCTCATTTCCAAGTGGTAGATTTCTTGCTTAGTCTCCCCTCTCACTTCATATTTCAGGTCACAAAAAGCTACTTCAACTGAGAAAAGCTCCACCTCATCCAACCCCGCTCTGAAGCACTGAGTTTATGAACTAGTTTCAGTAGCAAGCTGATTGCTGGTCGAGCCAAGAGTACAACAGTGCTCCCCTTACCCAGAACCTCTGGGAGACAGCAGCCAAATTAAAAGTGCCACATTTACAATTCAGAAGATACTATTTTCTCTCTTCTCTGGTTGTTCTGAAATCCTGAACTCTCCAAACACTGCCTGTTCTCGCTACTGCAGCTCCTTGGAAAAGTCTCTTTTTACAACAAAACAGCAGAAAATCCAGATCTCTCCACAAAGTTAGTGACTAAACATTAAATTCAGCCCATGTGTGTGTGCACATGCACATATATGTATATATATATACACACACACACGCATCCCCCCTCCTCTTGGCCTGGCTCCCAAAGAAATTTATACACACACAGGAAAAAAAGTAGCCTGCAGCCCAGTGTGTAACCAAATACACTGTAAATCTGAGCTGTAATTAATGCAGTGACCAAGCTGGAATGATACAGGAAATGAGAGCAGTTAGGAAAGCAGTGGTTTGCTCCAGATCCAGCCAATAATTCAACTTGTTAAAAAGCTTTCTAAACCTCAAGCAAAAAACCATGCCCTTTTCTTATGTGACTTTTTCCTACCTCACCTCCCTGTCACAGAAATGTGATCTCAGGTTTTTCAATACATAGATGCATGGCAACCATCTCTCAAGCCAATCTGAAAGGACTCAGCATGTTGCCAGCATGCCACAGGGCAAGCATGGGTCAGGAGAAAACCACCTTCGCCCTCCCCAGCCCTGGAAGGGAACACACTCACTGGGTAGTTATGTCCACACCACATCTCAGGGTGCTGCAGAGCCCTGCAGCAAGAGAAGGTCGACCGTGGGGACGGCAACCACCCATCTTCTGGCATGATCTGTCAAAGGTTTTGCTCTCTGTTCAGAGACCAGATGCTCTCTGTGTTCTCCATGCATAAGAAAGAGGCAACTCCCACTCAGTGCTCCAGAACTGGGACTGAACAGGAGAGAAATCACTGAAATCCTAACTGCAGTACTCTGGTGTCAGAACAGTGCTGTATCATAGAATCATAGAATCCCAGACTGGTTTGGGTTGGAAAGGACCTTAAAGCTCCTCCAGCTCCAACCCCTGCCACGGGCAGGGGCACCTTCCACTAGAGCAGCTTCCTCCAAGCCCCTGTGTCCAACCTGGCCTTGAACACTGCCAGGGATGGGGCAGCCACAGCTTCTCTGGGCACCCTGTTACCTCCTTACCTGGTAAAGCCTTGTAGGTACCTAAAGGTGAAGGGCAGTCAGAGGCTAAAATAAGAATCAGTCACTCCTAGAGCCAAACATATATGAGACAACAAAGCAACATTATGCTTCAGCCCTGTCCCACCAGAGTGGAAAGACACCGCAGTTCACGTTGGATCTTGGGCTATTGTATCTAGCTACCCTCCAACTAGGACAGCAGACATCAGTGTGAAGGTGCACATCATTTTGGCTCCTGAAAGAAATGAACAAACCATCTTTCTCCTCCAGGACCTCATCATGGCTCTCCTGGACCCTTAAAGAGTGAAAAACGAGTGTCTTGGCATAGATAATGAAGCAGTAACAGCGCTGCTACGTTCCAGCAGGAATACCAAATTCCTGCTCATCCAACACCTGAGAAGGAACCAGAGAAGCAGCACAAAAGTAATGCCAGGGTATACAAAGAAAAAGGACTGGACCATGAAACCATGGAGTTTCATAAGCCTTCCAGAACAAATATGGAGAGCAGATGATCAGCCAACACAAAAGGGAAAGAGGAAGAAATACATGACAAGAAAACACAAAGCATCTGGGCTCAACTCAGAGGACAAGAACAGGAACATTCTGGAGCAACCTCCTGACACTGTAGGAGCAAGAAGTGGCGATTGCTAAGTTACACGTATTAAATCAACGACAGAACAGTGGCTGTAAATGCAAGGCTAGGTCATGGAGGCCAGAAAAACACCTTCATGTGTCACCCCAGGAACACCCAAAATCTCCACTTCTAGAGACTCCTGCACACTGAGGAGGTGCCCAGCTGTGAGTAAGGGCCATTCAGTGAGCAAAGCAAACAGAACTAGGATGGGGCCATGTAAAACTGCATAAAAAGCAGCAGAGCAAGTAGGAAAGCACCAGCTCTGACTGCTCCCATCTGACAGCAGCCAAGGGTGGCCAGGTCTACCATGCTGGAGAGGCCAAGCCTAGGCTCAGGCAGCTAATCCCATTCAGTCCCTGGGTCAAGTGGAAGAGAAAGTGCTTAGTCTGACGCTGATCCTTCACAGCTCAAAACACCTCACAAAGCTTGACAAAAACAAGGCTATAGCACTTTGGAGGAGCTCTCAGAAACGCCCATCTGCACCCACTCCATCAAGACACAAATGATGCAGACTTCTTGGGGAAAGACTTAGATAAGGGCATTGGACAAGGGCCTGTAGGGACTAGGCAAGGGGAATGGCTTTAATCTGCCGAGAGGAGACTGAGATGAGCTCTTAGGCAGAAGCTCTTCCCTGTGAGGGTGCTGAGGCGCTGGCACAGGGTGCCCAGAGAAACTGTGGCTGCCCCATCCCTGGCAGTGTTCAAGGCCAGGTTGGACACAGGGGCTTGGAGCAAGCTGCTCTAGTGGAAGGTGTCCCTGCCCGTGGCAGGAGTTGGAGCTGGATGAGCTCTGAGGTCCCTTCAACACAAACCAGTCTGGGATCCAACGATTCTTCATCTGACAGTTTCTCCAAACAATATGCTCCTGGTTTAAAAATTTTAACATGAACTTATTTCCTTTGGACATTTTTCATTCTGAAGACCCATTTCCCCACCCTGCATCAGGCACCAAAACTGGAGGAGATGGTACATCAAGTGTTTTCCAGTTCTCAATATCTGCGGTTACATTTCAAAACCATATAAACCACAAGGCTTATATTTTTGAGTTAGCAAAGTGCCTTTGAGGAAAGCCATCAACTACTTTCTGTTCATTCTCTGCTCCTCCTTTGTGCACACATCACTGGAAACCTGCTGTGATCACAACAAAAGCGGTGCCCGCGGGCTGCTGAGCTACAGCAGCGCATTTGCTGCTGCCTTCTTGCAAACTCCTGTTGCATTATTCACTGGTTCTGCTGAGCCCCCCTAGCAAGAGAAACCCACTTTCTAACTGAGACTCCCTGTGTGTCTTGCAAGGGGAAAGTGAGGCATCCAACCCAGAGGAGTTATTTACCAATGAGGAACATCTCTCACCACTTTGTCACTCTGTGTCAAACACCAGTGAATGCCCCATGACGCTGCAAAAATGACAGTCACTGATGAAAAGATGCAGAATGCAGAAAACCCAGGAACCCCTCAAAAGGAGGGGGTCTAACGGGACCAAAATGCAGGATCACATCCACCAACCAGTTCATTACGGATGAAATTCATGGATGGAAAAGGTTAAGAACAAAATGCTAAATGTCAGGTCTCCCTTTGGCAGAAGCTTATACCTCTGCCTTGCAAATTAATAAGATTGTAATTAATTTTTAATGGAATACATAACAAATCTAACTCACCCAGGAAACAATCAGTGAATCTTTACTCTTACCAGCTGTTTTGTGCACATTCTC